AGGAGGGAGGGAGGGAAGGAAGGAAGGGAAAGAGACTACAAGGTAGGAAGGAAGGAGGGAGGGAAGGAAGGGAAAGAAAGAGAATGGAAGGAAGGAAGGAGGGAGGGAGGGAAGGAGGGAAGGAAGGGAAAGAGACAAGGAAGGAAGGAGGAAGGAAGGAAAAGGGACTGCAAGGGTAGAACAAGAAGCAATGGGTGGAAACTAATCAAGGAGCGAAGCAACCTAGAACTAAGGAGAAATTTCTTGATAGGGAGAACAATTAATCAGTGGAACTACTTGCCTCCAGAAGTTGTGATTGCTCCAACACTGGAAGTTTTCAAAGAAGATATGGAAGGGTTTCCTGCCTAAGCAGGGGGTTGGACTAGAAGACCTCCAAAATCCCTTCTAACCCTGTTCTTCTATTCTATACTTTTTCATCCCTGTGGTAACTGCAAAGGCTCAATAAACGAGGCAGTCACTAAACGAGGACTGCCTTTCCAAGTTAAGCCTCACTGCAAATTTCCCTTTCTGTTTTGTAAATTGCTAGCGTTTGCTTTTTTTCCAAGACTGCATTCGAACGGTCCTTGGAGCAACATCCGCTTAACAACTGCCTTAGCGACGGAAAAGTTGGGTTCAACTGTGGCCTAGGGGTGATATCCAGCAGGTTCTGGAGAACCGGTAGCGGAAATTTTGAGTAGTTCGGAGAACCGGCAAACACCACCTCTGGCTGGCCCCAGAGTGGGGTGGGAATGGGGATTTTGCAGTATCCGTCTACCTGGAGTGGGGAGGGAATGGGGATTTTGCAGTATCCTTCCGCCTGGAGTGGGGAGGAAATGGGGATTTTGCAATATCCTTCTGCCTAGAGTGGGGAGGTAATGGGGATTTTGCAATATCCTTCTGCCTAGAGTGGGGAGGGAATGGGGATTTTGCAATATCCTTCTGCCTAGAGTGGGGAGGGAATGGGGATTTTGCAATATCCTTCTGCCTAGAGTGGGCAGGGAATGGGGATTTTGCAGTATCCTTCCGCCTGGAGTGGGGAGGGAATGGGGATTTTGCAATATCCTTCCTCTGGAATGGGGAGGGAATGGGGATTTTGCAATATCCTTCCACCTGGAGTGGGGAGGGAATGGGGATTTTGCAATATCCTTCTGCCTGGAATGGAGATTTTGCAATACCCTTCCCCCAGGAGTGGGGAGGGAATGGGGATTTTACAGTCGCCTTCCCTTGCCACACCCACCAAGCCACCCCCCACAGAACCAAGTAGTAAAAAAAAATTTGGATTTCCCCACTGTTGTGGCCATACATCAAGGACTACCTATATTCCAGAACAAAGACCCGGTCGGAGTTTTAAGCCGAAGGAGGAAACGAGGGATAAACCCCACCAACCTGCGTAGACGAAAGAGGTGATGAGCAAAGCGATGAGGTGTACTTTCATCGTGGGGTTCATGCCCTGGAACTGGAGTAAAGTCAGGTGTAGGAGGAAGGAGAAGAGAAACTCCAGGCCGAAAGCATTGGTGAGGCTGGTTTGAATGGGGTTGCTGCAAACGTCAGGCAGGGCTCTCAAATGACCGGCAGTGAAGCCCAACATCCAGATGAATTTCATGCACAGGTGAGCCAAGACGGCCGCCGCGAACTGCGCTGCAGTCTGCAGGCACCACCCGTGGATCCCCAGCTCGCCTTTGTAAAGCTGTTGGATGCTGCTCGCCGGGTTGCCCACGCTGCCCGTTAATGTCCAGCCGTGGAGGACGGTGAAAATGTAAGTGAGCCAAAGGGCGATTTGCGGACGGGGCAGCAAGCTGCCCAGCAGGCAAAGTTCGTGGGTGCAAGCACAAATCTGGAAAGTGGCGGTCAGCTCCTGGGTGAAAGTGTACCAGTTGGGAGTCCGCCGTAGTAGCGCCCGGTGGGCCAGCTGCCTGCACGTGCCCACCAGGAAGATAATGCCCGCCATCACGAGCAGGGAGATCAAGGCTTCGTCGGTATTCATGGCTGCGGGAAAAAAAAGAGGATTTTTTTTTAAAAAAATGCTGATACAGGAAGTCCTCGAATTTACAACTCTCCGTTTAGTGACGGTTGCAGCGTTTCCTCCGGGGGGGAGTTGGGGGGGTCACACGATCCCCTCTGGCGGATCTTCTGACAAGCAGAGTCAACGGGGAAACTGGATTGGCTTAACAGCCGTGTTGTAAGTAGTCCTCGATTTACGACGGTCTGTTTTAGGGACCGTTCCGAGTTACAACGGCACTGGGGGAGGGAAGTGACTTAGTATCGGGTTTTTTTTTCCCCACCCTTACGACCGTTTGCGGTGGCGTGATCAAAATTCGGTTCATATTTATGACGGTCGCAGTGTCCCGGGGTCACGAGATCTCCTTTTTTGTGGCATTCTGGCAAGAAAAGTCGACAGGGGAAAGCCGGATTCTTTCTTTCTTTCTATCTATCTATCTATCTATCTATCTATCTATCTATCTATCTATCTATCTATCTATCTATTATTTTTAAATTTGTATACCGCCCTTCTTCCCGAGGACTCAGGGCGGTGAACAGCCAAATAAAAACATAAACTACAAACATTAAAATACAATTAAAAAGATATATTTATAAATTTAGCCCCATGATTAAAAACAATAACAAACAATTTAACAACCGTTTACAATTTAACAAACTTTAACAACCGTGTCGCTAACTTAGCAGCAGTGATTCCATTAACGACTTGGCAACTGGGTCATTAAATGGGGCAAAACTCACTTTTGGAAATGTCTCACTTAGCAGCATACATTTCAGGCTCCGTTGCGGTCGTAACTCGAGGACTACCTGTATGGAGAATCCTCGGCTTAACTAAACCGTTTTTGTTTAGTGACCGGTCCAAGTTACAACGGCACTAAAAAAAAGGGACTTAGGACCGTTTCTTCAAACTTACGACCGTTTGCAGCATCCCCATGGCCACGTCGCAAACCAAAATTCAGATGCTCGAGAACTGAGTAGATTTAATACAAAAAATTGATGTTCTAATGTTATTATTATTATCTTTTACTGTGCCAAACGGAGTGGGAAGTCAACATCTTTTATTCTTTTTTTTCCCTTTCCACCCCACATTTCCTCTTTCCCCCCTTTTTTTTCTTTCCCCTTAGTTTTTCATTACTTTGGATTCTCCTCTGTAGTTTATATTTTGATCAAATGAAGGCAATTTGAGGTGGAAAAGAAATGGCAACTGACTAGATTTATGACAGTTGCAGTGTCCTGGGGAGTCACATTTTGTGTGGCCTTCTGACAAGCAAAATCAATTGAGAAGCCAGATTTCGCTTAACAACCGTGTTACTATCTTAACACCCGGCGCAGTGATTCACTGAACGACTGTGGGAAGGTCGTAAAACGGGGCAAAACTCCCCCGTCTTGCTTAGCAACAAAAAAAGTTGGCTCAACAGTGGCCAGAAGTCCAAAAAATGACCTCTATTGGCACCCCTTGCCAGATTCACTTAACAACTGTGTTACTATCTTAACACCCGGCACAGTGATTCACTGAACGACTGTGGGAAGGTCATAAAACAGGGCAAAACTCCACCGTCTTGCTTAGCAACAAAAAAAGTTGGCTCAACGGTGGCCAGAAGTCAAAAAAATGACCTCTATTGGCACCCCTTGCCAGATTCACTTAACAACCGTGTTCCTATCTTAACACCCGGCGCAGTGATTCACTGAACGACTGTGGGAAGGTCGTAAAACAGGGCAAAACTCCACCGTCTTGCTTAACAACAAAAAAGTTGGCTCAACGGTGGCCAGAAGTCAAAAAAATGACCTCTATTGGCACCCCTTGCCAGATTCACTTAACAACCGTGTTACTATCTTAACACCCGGCGCAGTGACTCACTGAACAACTGTGGGAAGGTCGTAAAACGGGGCAAAACTCCACCGTCTTGCTTAGCAACAAAAAAAGATGGCTCAACGGTGGCCAGAAGTCCAAAAAATGACCTCTATTGGCACCCCTTGCCAGATTCACTTAACGTCCATATAATTAACTTAACCGCTGCAGTAATTCGCTTAACGACTCGTGGCCAGAAGTCGTAAAACGGGGCAAAAACTTCACTCAGCAGCTATCGCCCTTAGCAACAAAAAATCGGGGCTCGATGGGGGCTCATCGGTGTAACGGTCGACTTGCAACCGTCCGTTTGTTTAGGACCATCCAAAGCGACAACAGCAGTGATTTACGGACACGTTTCAGTTATAACCTTTCCAGCCACCCCTGTGAGATCAAAATTCAGACGCACAGCAACTGGTTCATACTTATGACCGTCGCAGTGTCCCAGGAGGTCACGCGATCGAATCCCTCTGGCTTCCCCTTTGGCAAAAGTCTGCCAGATTTGCTAAACCGACCCAATTGCTCGTTTCCGATGGCACCGATTCGCTTAACAACTTGGAGGCAGAAAGGTCGTAAAACGGGGCAAGACTTCCCGGAACAGCTGTCTCACTTAGCGACAACAAAAAAAATGTGGGGGGCTCCCATTATGGTCATAAATCGAGGACTACCTTTATCCTTGCCGTGTGGCTTTGTGTGGTGGTGAGGTGGGGATGGTTGGCGGTGGCAATCTTGGGGAGCCGTCTCATCTACTTAAATGTGGGGGGGGCCTAAATGAGACTCCTTTATCTGGGGTGGGGATGTCTCAATCCCCTCTGCTTCGGCTACTACTTCCCTGCTGGTCATGGGGGTCTGAGTTCAAATCCCGCCCTGCTAGAGTGGGAGGAGCCCCAACTTTCTCCTCCTTTCACCCCCCCCTCCCAAATAAAAAAAGGAAAGGAGGCCACGAGGAGAGGCTCAGCTCTGCAAAAGCTTCCTGCAAAAAAAAAAAAAAAAAAAAACACCACCTTCCCGGGGACGATCCGTTCTTCCTGCCGGCTTCTTCGTGGCGGGCGGGCGGCTCGGAAAGCCTCCGCCTCCGGGCCGTTGCTGGCTTCGTTCGACCGGGCGATCTAACGGCCGCTGGATCCCCGCGGAACAGGGGGGGGGGGGGGGGTCCCGCGTTCCCGCACCGGCCACGTCGCTTCTTTCCCCCAAGCCTCGGCTCTCTTTTTTTTCTTTGCAAAAGGTTTGCAATGATTATTAATTGCAACGATTATTATTACTAATTGCAACTACTATTATTAATTGCAACTATTATTATTAATTGCCATTATTATTAATTGCAACTATTATGAATTGCAACTATTATGAATTGCAACTATTATTATTAATTGCCATTATTATTAATTGCAACTATTATTAATTGCAACTATTATGATTATGAATTGCAATGATTATTATTATGAATTGCAACTATTATGATTATGAATTGCAACGATTATTATTATGGATTGCAACTACTATTATTAATTGCAACTATTATTATTAATTGCAACTATTATTAATTGCAACTATTATTAATTGCAACTATTATATTAATTGCAATTATTAATTGCAACTATTATGAATTGCAACTATTATTATTGATTGCAATGCTTATGATTATGAATTGCAACGATTATGATTATGAATTGCAACGATTATGATTATGAATTGCAATTATTGGTGCAAGCCGGCCTGGCTTTTGGATCCGGATCCGGATCCTGATCCTTCCCGGCTGGTGGATCCCAGATCGGGAGAGAGATCGAGAGAGAGAGATCTGGTTAAAGCCATTTCCCCCACCCCCCGAGACCCCCAGCTGCCAATCTGTTTGCAAAGCGGCGGCGTTACCTGCTTTTGGCTCTCTCCGGGCAGCCGAACCAGCTCCGAACCGGCCCGAAACACGCGGGGGGAAGGGGACACGGGACGGGACGGGACACGCTTTGCCCCTTTTGCAAAGCGGAGTTTTGCAAAAACGTCTCTTTGCAAAAAAAAAAAAAGAAAGAAAGAAAGAGGAAAAAAAAAAAAGAAAGAGTGCAGAATTGCAATGCCTGGGCTCTTCTTCTCTTTAATCTGGCATTGCTTGGATTAATCATTAATCATTCCCACTCTTGGGGGGGGGGAGGCGGAGGGGGGGCCGTGGAGGAGGAAAGTGGGGGCTGGGGGGGGTTCAGGTTCAGGCGTTCCTTTGAGCCCAAGAGCCCGTTTGTTCTCTCGCCCCCTCCGGGTGGGGTGGGGGTGGGGGGGGGGTTTCCCGGGGCGGTTTAGAAGAAAGAGAAGGGGGGGGGGGAGACTTCGGGGGTTTGTGGATGTGGTTCTTTTGTCGTGTTCGCGGACAGGGGGGAGGAGGGGGGGACCCTTCTGAGAGCTGCTGGAGGCCCCCAAATGTCATTTGAATCAGGTCTGCCGATCAGGGGACCTTCAAAGTCCCAATAAAGTTATTCCATTCCATTCCATTCATTCTTATTCCTATTCTATTCCCTTCCTTCCCTTCTATTCTAATTATTCTATTCTATTAATCATTGTTTTATTCTAATCTAATTATTATTCCATTCCATTCTATTCTATTCTATTAATTTCTATTCCTATTCTATTCTATTCCCTTCCCTTTTATTCTATTCTAATTATTCTATTAATCATTGTTTTATTCTATTCTAATTATTATTCCATTCTATTCTATTCTATTCTTTTCTATTCTATTCTATTCTATTCTAATTACTCTATTCTATTAATCTTGTTTTATTCTATTCTAATTATTATTCCATTCTATTCTATTCCCTTCCTTCCCTTCCCTTCCCTTCTATTCTATTCTAATTATTCTATTCTATTTAATCATTATTTTATTCTATTCTAATTATTATTCTATTCCATTCTATTCCCTTCCCTTCCTTCCCTTCTATTCTATTCTAATTATTCTATTCTATTAATCATTATTTTATTCTATTCTAATTATTATTCCATTCCATTCTATTCCCTTCCCTTCCTATTCCCTTCCTTCTATTCTATTCTAATTATTCTATTCTATTAATCATTATTTTATTCTATTCTAAATATTATTCCATTCCATTCTATTCTTATTCTTCCCTTCTATTCTATTCTAATCTATTCTATTAATCATTATTTTATTCTAATCTAATTATTATTCCATTCTATTCTAATTCTATCCTATTAATTCCTATTCTATTCTATTCCCTTCCCTTCCCTTCTATTCTATTCTAATTACTCTATTCTATTAATCATTATTTTATTTTATTCTATTCTAATTATTATTCTATTCTATTCTATTCTATTCTATTCTATTCTATTCTATTCTATTTATTCTATTCTATTCTATTCCATTCCATTCCATTCATTCCATTCCATTCCATTACCTTCTCTTCCCTTCTATTCTATTCTAATTATTCTATTCTATTAATCATTATTTTATTCTATTCTAATTATTATTCCATTCTATTCTATTCTATTCTAATTCCTATTCCTATTTATTCTAATTCTAATCCTTATTTTCTATTCTATTCTATTCTATTCTTATTTATTCTATTCTATTCTATTCTATTCTATTCTATTCTACTCGTATTAATACTGCAATATGTACAAACCCAGGCTAATGTAAGTAGGCCACTTCAGGCTAGTATAATACATTGAATGTATCTAGGCATGATTTTGCTTGCTTGAGAAATGGGGGATTTTTTTAGGGGCAACTTCGATCCCTGAAAGAAATAATATCTTTCCATCAGTGCTGTGTTCTGTTCCATTGTTGCTCTTTTATTTCCTAGTTTTTAAATGAAAGGATGACCTCCAGATTTTCCAACCAATCTGCTTTCCAGCTTTTAATGAGCTTGAATTCACACTTAATAATTTTTTCTGTCCTGAAGTCACACGAACTTCAAATTACTCCATGTTGTGCCTTCTTCTTCGACAGTCTGAATATCTAAATATTGGTTTAAATGTTTTTAAAAGCTGTAACTCGGTCAGAGTATTTAAAAAGGAGAAGATTATAAATTAAATATTTACTAACGTTTTCGAAGCAAGATTTTTTCCCCTTTTCCCCCTTTTTCTCTCTTTTAACATTTTAAAATATCAACAAAGAAGGGATCCTAGTATTTAATATTAAGCTCAGATTTCAAAACCTTTCTCATATATTAATTCAATCATTTTTCTCATATATTAATTCAATCATTCAACCATTGGCTTTTTTCTTGTGTAGATTTTCTTGGCAAACATTCAATGTTTATTTTGTTTTTTGTTTTTTAAATGCCCCCTGCACTTTCCAATATTTATTTATTTGAATTATACAGCTGCTTATCCTAAATGCACGGCTCTGCGGGCCTAATAATATTAAAAAATGATTTTAAAAGTGTACTGAAAAAAACTATAAATAGCAGTAAAAAAAAAATGACAGAGCAAAAATCAAACATTCAACCCAGCCGAGAATTGCTAAAGAGGAACATAGGAACTCAGGAAGAATTAAACCTTATTTTAAGAAACTTATTTTGCATAGATTTGAATAATCATATTTTTATTAGACAACTTTAAACTAACAATGGGATCTGTGCAGCTATACTTAAATACTAGAATAGCAATGCAGAGAGTTCTTGACTTACAGTAGTTTGTTTACTGGCCATTTGAAGTTGTAACGGCGCTGAAAAAAAGTGACTTATGACCGTTTTTCACATTTATGACGTTCCAGAATCCTATTGCAGGTGATCAAAATTGAGACGCTTCGAAATGGACTCGTATTTATGACGGCTGCAGTGTCCTGGGGCCATTTGTTCCTCTTTTATGACCATCTGATTAGCAAAGTCAATGGGGAAGGTAAATTCACATTACAACTGTGTTACTAACTTAACAACTGCAGTGATTCACTTAACAACTGTGGCAAGGAAGGTCGTAAAATGTGGCAACAGTCACTTAACAACTGTCTCGCTTAGCAACAGAAATATTGGGCCCCAATTGAGGTTATAAGCTGTTGTGGCCTATACGCAGCCTGTGCAGCTAGGAGCTGATTCCGACAGCGAGGAGGCTGGTGTGTGGTGCTGCGCCAGCAGCCTGTGCAGCTGGCGCTCGAGTCGGACAATGAGGAGGCTGGAAAAGATGTGCCAGAGGCGGGGATTCAGTCAGGGCCTTCAGAACCTCCAGAAGCTTCCATGGGTGAAGAGGAAGAAGAAGATGAGCCTCTTCTCAATGCACGGGTGCGCAGAGCTGCCAAAAGGCAGGAGTGGTTCCTCAGGAGGAGGTCTCCTCGAGAGTAAGGCTTGGGGCTAACTTCCCACTCCCCTAACCTATTTAAGGAAGAACGACAACTGAGGCAATTTGCAGGGAACAACTTCGTTTACTCTCCTTCGCGTCCTTGATCTTAGTTCTTTGCAAATTGCTTCTGGGCTTTCTGCCAACCTAGTAAGATTACGATTGTTTATTCTTTGGATTCTTGTAGGCTGTTAAGAAAGTTAATTAGCAGCCTTTATTTGAAAAAGACTGATTTAATTATGGGACCGCCTACTACCACAAATAGCCTCTCACCGCCCGGTATGCTCTCATAGAGAGGGGCTCCTCAGGGTGCCATCGGCCAAACAATGTCGACTGGCGGCCCCCAGGGGGAGGGCCTTCTCTATGGAGGCACCCACTATCTGGAACGAACTCCCCCCCCCGGAGATACAGAGGATCCCGGATCTGCGCACTTTCCGCCGCGCTCTTAAGACCTTCCTATTCCAGCAAGCTGGCCTGGCCTAACCTTTTCCCCCCTTTTCTTTTAAATTTGAAAATTTTAAATACGTTTTTAAATTATTGAGATTTTTAAAATTTGTCTCCGGCTAAATTATTTAATCTGGTTTTATTTTTGCTTTTAAATTTTTGTATTTATATATTTTATTTTTGTGCCTGTTCACCGCCCTGAGTTCTTCGGGAGTAGGGCAGTGTATAAATCTAATAAAAATAAAAATAAAAAATTAGTAAACTAAGGTCTGTGCAGACTTTGTGTGTGCTGCGTTCTTTGGGGTCCGTGGCTGGGCAGAACATAAGCCAAGGACTACCTATAATAAGAATTATACTGCGATATTAATCATTATGTAGAGCAATGGACTTTAACTCCCAGAATTCCCCAGCTGAGATTCTTACACAAAAACTGAACAGGTTTCTCACAGCTTTAAAAGTCCTGCTATCAGGCTAACCATTTATATATGCTGTTTTCGTTTTTTTTTAAAAAAAACAATGGACTAAAGCCAATCCTGGATCATTTTTAAGGGAGTTGTTTTAAACTTGCAAAGAATCAGGAGGGTTTGCAAATGATCTACTGTGCAGCCAGCAGCTCTGGAATCCTTTGTTTCTCTGTTTGCGTGATGGGAGGTACACAAAGGTTGTGTTGGGATCCACACAAAGGTTTTCTGTCTTTTCCCCCCTGTGGAGAAAACAAATTGGAATATCAACATTTGGTGGTAAACTGAACAAAATGTAGAAGATTGTGGTGCTAGGTTGAGTGGAGCGACTAAATGCAACTCAAAAATTAGAATAGAATAGAATTAGAGTAGAGGTGGAACAGAACAGAACAGAAAAATGGAATGGAATGGAATGGAATGGAATGGAATGGAATAGAATAGAATAGAATAGAATAGAATAGAATAGAATAGAATAGAATAGAATAGAATAGAATAGAATAGGTGGAATGGAACGGAACAGAACAGAACAGAACAGAATAATGGAATGGAATGGAATGGAATAGAATAGAATAGAATAGAATAGAATAAATTGGATAGGATAGAAACAGAAATAGAGAATAGGATAGAATAGAATAGAATAGAATAGAATAGAATAGAATAGAATAGATTGGATTGGATAGAATAGAAATAGGGATAGGATAGGATAGAATAGAATAGAATAGAATAGAATAGAATGGAAGAATGGAAGAATAGATAGAATAGAATAGAATAGAATAGAATAGAATAGAATAGAATAGAATATGTGGAATGGAATAAATGGAATGGAATGGAACAGAACAGAATAATGGAATGGAATGGAATGGAATAGAATAGAATAGATAGAAATTGGACTAAAATCCACACATGGTTGGAAAAAAATGATTAAAAAGCACATTGATTTCAAATCCAAGATTTTTTTTTATTAGGGATCTTACCAGAAACATATAACAGAGAATTGAGTTACCTGATTGTGAATGTATTGACAGTGGCTAGAATTGTGTTTGCTAAAAATTGGAAAAAATGAGGAAATACCCAAACAAGATGAAAGTTATTAGGAAAATTATGGAACGTGCTGAAATGAGTAAATTGACATTTGAAATTAGAGAACAGGAACAATACTATAAGATATGGGATTTATTTTATCAATGGCTAGATAATAAAACATGGCAATGAAATATGAAATATGAAATAGATGTTACAATACAATTTATGGAAATGATTTTAATGGGATGAAAATGCCATTGTTAAATGAATGATGAATGAGAATAATAATATAAAGATATATGTTAGATTGACAATATGAGAAATTAGAGAATTTGTAATGATGAATATGAGATGAAGCACAAAAGATTTGTAACTGACCGACACACTACTTGTAATTGGAATGTTTTTATGTTTTGTTTAAAAAAATAAACTTTTTTCAAAAAAAAAAATAGAATAGAACAGAACAGAACAGAATAGAGAATAATGGAATGGAATGGAATGGAATGGAATAGAATAGTGGGGAGAGAATGGGGATTTTGCAGTATCCTTCCCTCGGAGTGAGGTGGGAATGGGGATTTTGCAGTATCTTTCCCCTGGAGTGGGGAGAGAATGGGGATTTTGCAGTATCCTTCCCTTGGAGTGGGGTGGGAATGGAGATTTTGCAGTATCCTTCCCCCTGGAGTGGGATGGAAATGGGGATTTTGCAGTATCCTTCCCTTGCCACACCCACCAAGCCACACCACACCCACCAAGCCACGCCCACAGAGCCGGCAGTAAAAAAATTGAATTTCACCACTGGAATAATGCAACCTTTTTATGGCGGCTCCCTAAGTGGCTCAGCGGCTAAGGCGCCGAGCTTGTCGATCAGAAAGGTCGGTGGTTCGAATCCCTAGGGTAGGTCTCCTGCGTGAGCAGGGGGTTGGACTAGATGACCTCCAAGGTCCCTTCCAGCTCTGTTATTCATCACCTGTGTGGGCAAAATATATTTTTATTCGATTTATTTATATATACCTCATTTTTCCACAAGAGGGCAGTAGAGACTTTCTATAATGTTTCTGACTGTCTATGGCAGAGGTCTTCAAACTTGACAAGCTTTAAGACTTGCGGACTTCAACTCCCAGAATTCTCCAGGGAGCATAGCTGGCTGGAGAATTCTGGGAGTTGAAGTCCGCAAGTCTTAAAGCTGCCAAGTTTGAAGACCTCTGGTCTATGGAGAGGCATTCAGGTCATGGTTGTCCCTGAGGCAACTGAGGAAGCTTCTTGGATGAGAGAAGCGAAACGTCTTCAGAGAACAACAAGAAAGTCCAGGTGCCTCTTGAAAAAGCACCTTTTCTGGTTGTCTTATCTCCTTCAAGCAGCGTTTCTCGAATCTCAGCGACTTTTGAGATGCGTTCAATTCCCAGAATTCCCTGGGAGCATGCTGGCTGGGGAATTCTGGGAATTGTGGTCCACACGTTTTAAAGCTGCTTTAAAGTCTCTCTTCCCTCAGATCTGGTCACGGCAGATGCTTCCCTGTTCCGAGATATATTAATGCTGATTAAAAGGCACTCCTTGACTTACAACAGTTCGCTTAGTCACCGTTCAAAGCTACAACGGCACTGAAGGAAGTGACCTAGCCGTGAAAGGCACCCAGCTGTTCTTCAGGCCTGAGGCAGGACTAGAACTCACCGTCCCCTGGCGATTGGCCCAAAGTCACCCAGCTGTTCTTCAGGCCTAAGGCAGGACTAGAACTCACCGTCTCCTGGTGATTGGCCGAAAGTCACCCAGTCAGCTTTCATGGCTAAGGCAGGACTAGAACTCACCGTCTCCTGGCGATTGGCCGAAAGTCACCCAGTCAGCTTTCATGGCTAAGGCAGGACTAGAACTCACCGTCTCCTGGCGATTGGCCAAAAGTCACCCAGTCAACTTTCATGGCTAAGGCAGGACTAGAACTCACTGTCTCCTGGCGATTGGCCCGAAGTTACCCAGCTGTTCTTCAGGCCTAAGGCAGGACTAGAACTCACCGTCTCCTGGCGATTGGCCGAAAGTCACCCAGTCAACTTTCATGGCTAAGGCAGGACTAGAATTCACCATCTCCTGGTTTCTGGGCCAGTACTTTCACCACTACACCAAACTGTCTCTGAACGATCCTACTTGGTCTACATGATGCGAAGACCCAGCCCTCTGAAGAAGGCTCCGATGCTGGGAAGGTGTAAGGAAAGAGAAGAAGAAGAAGACGGCCGACCAGCAGTAAGATGGATGGACTCACAGTTGTGTAGCTATGGGTGGTCTTGAAAGGCCGAATAGGGAATAGATCATCCTGGAGAAGATCTATCTATGGGGTTGCTAAGAGATGACATCAAGTTGATGGCACTTAATCAATCAACGCAAAGACTCCCTAGAGAATTGTATAATGCTGTGGAAAAGGGGAAAGAAAGAGAAGAAAAGGAGAACAGCATCAAAGTAGATGGACTCATTTATTTCAGAGATGGAGGTTCTGTTGGGAGACGGATGTTTGGTACCCTTTATGGTTTGGCGTATTTTCCAATTTTGTTAGGAATTCCAAAAAGACACTTTTTTCTTTCTTTCTTTCTTTTTCTTCCTTCCTTCCTTCCTTCCCTCCTTCCTTCCTATTATGTCTCTCTCTCTCTTTCTTTCTTTTTCTTCTTTCCTTCCTTCCTTCCTATTATGTCTCTCTCTCTCTTTCTCTTTTTCTTCCTTCTTTCCTATTATGTCTCTTTCTTCTTTCCTTCCTTCCTTCCCTCCCTCCCTCCTTTCTTCCTATTATGTCTCTTTCTTTCTCTTTCTTTCTTTTTCTTCCTTCCTTCCTATTATGTCTCTTTCTTTCTTTCTTCCTTCCTTCCTTCCCTCCCTCCTTTCTTCCTATTATGTCTCTTTCTTTCTTTCTTTCTTTCTTTCTTTCTTTCTTTCTTTCTTTCTTTCTTTTTCTTCCTTCCTTCCTATTATGTCTCTCTCTCTTTCTTTCTTTCTTTCTTTCTTATTTTCTTTTTCTTCCTTCCTTCCTATTATGTCCCTTCCTTCCTTCCTTCCTTCCTTCCTTCCTTCCTTCCTTCCTTCCTGCCTTCCTTCCTTCCTTCCTTCCTTCCTTCCTTGAGTTTTTGAGCTTTATACTCGGTTCTGGATAATATTTTCTTTCTTCTCTTGGACCTGTTCACCCTATTTATAGAAACCACAGTCAATATTTTATTCATATCACATCCATCATTGTCCTACGGCCCCAGTTTTGCAAAATTACGTTTAACCCCTGCGCAGGTCGTTCCCATTGTCCCAGATATAACTTGAATAAGCTGATAATCCTGCAATTCTCTCGCTCAGGAACTTCCCATCCTGGCATCATGCAGAAATAATGTCAGCTTTCTGAGTTCCATGGCTGTAAGAATACAAGACGTCCACAATTTACAACAATTCATTTGCTGAACCGTTTGAAGTTACGACGGCAATGAAAAAAGTGACTTATGACCGTTTTTCACATTACAAAAGCACTTCCATGGTCACAGGATCAAAATTCAGACTCTTGACAACTGACTCATATTTATGACGATGAGCAGTGTCCCACTTCTTAAAAACTTCCAGTGTTGGAGCATCCACAACTTCTGGAGGCAAGTCATTCCACTGATTAATTGTTCTCACTGACGGGACATTTCTCCTTAGTTGTAGAGCCTTCGGTGGCGCAGTGCTTAGAATGCAGTCTTGCAGACTAACTCTGCCCACTGCCAGGAGTTTGATCCCAACCGGCTCAAGGTTGACTCAGCCTTCCGTCCTTCCGAGGTCAGTCAAATGAGGACCCAGATTGTTGGGGGCAAGAGACTGACTCTGTAAAGAGTGCAGAGAAGAGCAACCAAGATGATGAGGGGACTTGGAGGCAAAAACATAAGATGAACGGTTGCAGGAACTGGGCATGGCTGGTCTAGTGAAGAGAAGGACCAGGGCAGACATGACAGCAGTCGTCCAATATTTGAGGGGAGAGGAAGGGGGTCAAGCTATTCTCTCTCTTTTTTTAAAAATAATCTTTATTTACATTTGTCATTAAAAAAGAAGACAACAAGGAGCCTGGTTTAGCTCAACAGACAGAGGCACTGTAATTTAACACCAGCTGCCTGCAATTAAAGTAAGATCGAATCTTGCCAGGCTCAAGGTTGACTCAGCCTTCCATCCTTTCTAAGGTAGATAAAATGAGGACCCAGTTTGTGGGGGCAATAAGCTGATTTTGTATAAATATACAAAAGTATGAAGGCTATTGCTTAACGCACTGTAAGCCGCCCTGAGTCTCCGGAGAAGGGCGGCATATAAATCAAATTAAAAAAAAAAAAACACCAGATAAATGACAAACAAAACAACAAAACAAATAACATACATGCCTATAAGTAGTACCTTAATAACTTAATATTCGGTACAATATATCTGTCAAGTTTCCGAAAGATGCCCTAATTAATTCATGGCAACTTGAAAGCTTTGCAAGTTGACACTATCTACATTACATTCTGGGGGAGGCAGAACAATTTAATTTACATTTATAAATCAGTTAGGTCTATCCGACCTCACTTTACTTATATAATATAAATTCTTCCATAAATATGACTCCTAATCTAGTTTGGGATTATAGTTTTCTCTTTGATAGCCATATATATAGTTTTTCCCAAGATAAACTTATGTTTGTGTTTGGTCTCTTATCTTTCAGTTTTTAAGTCAATTTATCTGCTTCCGCACATATTAACATACGCTCAATTCTGGAAAGATAAAAATACCCCATCAGAGGAAGCAATCATAAAGAAGATTTTGGATTGTGCGGGTCAAGCTATTCTCCAAAGCACCTGAAGGCCAGACAAGGAAGAATGGATGGAAACTGACCAAGGAGAGATTCAACCTGGAAATAAGGAGAAATTTTCTGGCAGTGAGAACAATCAACCCCTGGAACAGAAGTTGCCTTCGGAAGTTGTGGGAGCTTCATCCCTGGAAGCTTTCAAGAAGCGACTGGACTGCCATCGGTCAGAAATGGTGTAGGGTCTCCTGCTTGGGTGGGGGGTTGGATAGGGGTGGGTTCTACTTACCTTTACTACTGGTTCGCATTGTACCCGTATTATGCTAATGCAGTAGGGTTGTTTTGCTTTAATCCCACAGAAATTGCTTTGCGAGAAGTTAGAAGAACTTCTAACTTCCAGCTGCAGGACCTGGATGTGGTCTTGAAAAAGAAAGAGCATGCAGAATGAAGGTACCATAATATTAATTGTATCATTTTTTTAAAATAATTTTTATTAATATATTCTATACACCAATACACCAATAAAATATACAATCCTGCCACCATGGTATAATGTGATTACATTGTCCATAAATATAAAGTCATTCCTTTATACATACATATTTGCCATCATATATATACATCATCATATATCTATTCTATCCCACCTTTTCTGGACCCAATCGTACCATAATTTCCAACTGTTATAAAATTCTGAATCTTTTTTACCATTGATCAGTCTAGTTAATCTATCTGGTTCCGCACACTCATTAATTTTATATATTATTTTCAAATGAGCCTTGGTAGTACAGTGGTCTAAAGCACCCTGTTATTAAGACCAGCTGCCTGCAATTACTGCAGGTTCGAATCTCGCCAAGGTTGGCTCAGCCTTCCATCCTTTCTAAGGTAGGTAAATTGAGGACCCAGTTGTGGGGGCAATAAGCTGACTTTGTATAAATATACAAAAGGATGAAGGCTATTGCTTAGCGCATTGTAAGCCACCCTGAGTCTCCGGAGAAGGGCGGCATATAAATCAAATTTAAAAAAAATAATCCATCGGTAAGTATTGATTTTTCCACTCCTGCGCATACGCTAATCTTGCTGCAGTAATAACGTGAATCAACAAGAACCATATATCTGATTTAACATTCAAAGGTTTTGCCCCCAATAGGAAAATCTCGGGCCTTAATTCCAAATTAATCTGTGTAATTTCCAAAATCCATTGCCGTATTTTTTTCCAATATTTAACCGCCTGCGGGCAGGTCCACCATTGGTGAAAATAAGTTCCATTACTGTAACCTCACTTCCAACAGCAGACAGATGTCCTGGGAAACATTTTAGCTAATCTCGCAGGGGGGAGATGCCACCGGTAGACCATTTTATATATGTTTTCTTTGTATGAAGAAGCCAAGGTTAATTTCATATTTTTCAACCAAATCTGTTCCCGTTGCTGGAAGTCAAGGGGATATCCAAAATTTCGCCCCCATGCTATCATACAATCCTTCACTACATCTTTTAATTAATCTATTTTAAAGTTGCCAAGGTTGGAAAACACTGTGCTGCAGAAACAGAAATGAAAGTTTTTTGACCAAGGATCCAAGATCGGAGATCCCACCGCTGTCAGGGACTCTTAAATCAAGAGAGGAACCCCGATTCTCCCTCCTCATAGGCTGAAATCGGTTTGAAGCAGGGTGGATCTGATTTAAATCGAGTTGATTTAAATCACTAGTAAAAAGGCTTGATTTAAATCAACTCGATTTAAATCGTAATTTTTAAAGAGCGGCTGTCATCTCTGCTACTCCTTTGACCCACTGTTGCCTCACCGATAGTCCCAGTGTTGCAGAATATACAGCCTCCTGCTACATAACTAAGCTCCGTTTCATGCTGAATAAACTCAATTATTTCTGTATCTTAAATAGAAAACTATCTTACGATAGATTTTTACCCTCAAAGTTTTTTATTAAAATAAGTTTGATAAAAAATTAAAAAAATCCGATTTAAATCAAAAAAATCCGATTTAAATCAAAAAAATCCGATTTTTTTTAAAAAAAATTTTTAAAAAATCATTGATTTTTATCCACCCTGGTTTGAAGCCATCTGCCAGCTCGTTGTCTTACTTCAAGTAACACGTGAAATAACAGCTTTGTTATGTAAGGCCCGCTCGAAAACCTGACGATTTTGACGGGAGGAAGGTCAGGAGAGGTGCCTCCCCCTCGTATAAATATAGCGCTCCGAGCAAACAAAATTGTCTTGTTCACAACTGTTGGTGTTAAATCACACACTTGAAGTGACTCACCGGTTGAGGCAAAACTGCACGGAGAGTTTTCTCGGCAACGGGCGGCATTGAGCAAAAGGGAAAAAAAAAGAAGCAAAGTGGACACTCTCTCTCTCCTGTGGTTCGGCTGGCCCAAGTGAGCCAGCCACAAAGCTGATGAAGAGTTGTCGGCGCTTGGATGGGAGACCACCAGGAGAGGCAAAGAATGCAAGTTAGAAAATGGCATTTTCTAACCTGCGTTCCTGGCCTCTCCGGGTGCTAACTGCAGGTTTGCAGGGTTCCAGTATTGGAGGGGTTGCCACAAAGAAGAGGGGGTCAACCTAGTTTTCCAAACTCCTGAAGGCAGGACCAGAAGCAACAGATGGAAGCTACCTAGAACTATGGAGGAATTTCCTGAGAGTGAGAACAATTAATCAGTGGAACGACTTGCCTCCAGAAGTTGTGGGTGCTTCATCCCTGGAGGTTTTAAAGAAGAGATTAGACAATCATTTCCAACTCTGCTCTTCTATCAAAAGGAAATATTTCCATTCTTCAGAACTGAACTGCTATGCAATGAAGGCAGAATATTATTACTACAAGCCAGGGGTGAAATCCAAATTATTTTACTACCGGTTCTGTGGGTGTGGCTTGGTGGGCGTGGTGTGGCTTGGTGGGCGTGGCTTGGTGGGTGTGGCATGGGAAAGGTACTGCAAAATCTCCATTCCCACCCCACTCCAGGGGGAAGGATACTGCAAAATCTCCATTCCCTCCCCACTCCTGGGGAAAGGATACTGCAAAATCCCCATTCCCACTCCACAGGGAAGATACTGCAAAATCTCCATTCCCTCCCCACTCCTGGGGGAAGGATACTGCAAAATCTCCATTCCCTCCACACTCCAGGGGAAGGATACTGCAAACTCTCCATTCCTACCCCACTCCAGGGGAAGGATATTGCAAAATTCCCATTCCCACCCCACTCTGGGGCCAGCCAGAGGTGGTATTTGCCGGTTCTCCGAACTGCTCAAAATTTCCGCTACTGGTTCTCCAGAACCTGTCAGAACCTGCTGGATTTCACCCCTGCTACAAGCGTACGCTACAATTCTTGACCCTGGGACACTCCAACCCGTCATAAACATGAGTCAGCGTCTGAATTTTGATCACATGACCAAGGGGATGCCGCAAAGGTCTTAAGTCAATAGGGGAAGCCAGATTCGCCGTACAACCCTGTGACTACAGTAGTGGCCAAAATGGTGGAAACCTTTTGGGAAAAGTGTATTTTCTAAAACTAGCTAATAACACCACTTTCTTTTGGAATAGATCCATAAAATGATATATCAATGGAAAGATAATTTGATCACGAATGTAATGCAATAACTTTGATGACTGATTTGCTGTTAGAAAGCAGTGACAGTATAAAGAAGAAAAGGGAAACACAGAAAAAACGAGAAATACAAAAATGATCACCATAGAAAAAAACGAGATATACAAAAATTATCCCCATGTCAGTTAATCCTTAGTTGGGTAACCTTTAGCATGAATTACGGCCTTACAACGTCTTCCCATGGAGTGAACCAAGTCTTTGAGTTCTGCAGCTGTTATCATGTGAAACCAAGATTGAAGGATGGCTTCTATTAACTGGGTTTTATTGCTGGGTTGCTTCTAACTAACAAGTTTCTTTAGTCGGCTCCATAGATTTTCCATTGGTTTAAGGTCTGGGCTATTCCCAGGCCATTCCAGCAGTGGAATAGGATGATCTTGAAACTCCAAAAGTAAAAGTGGTACTACTAGCCACCAAATCTCAAAAATACACTTTTCCCAAAAGGTTTCCACAATTTTGGCCACTACTGTAACTTAACGGCTGTGCTGATTTACTGTGGCAAAAACGGCAGTAAAAAGCGAGACAGATGTCCCTTAACAACTGTCTCGCTTTGCAACAGAAATTTTGGGCCCCAATTGCGGTCATTAAGTCGACGACTTTCTGCAATACGGACTTCTTCACTCTTTGGTACGATTGAGCAAGTCAACCGCTGGGCCTTAGACGCAGGGATGAATTTGCATTTGCCGTCTGCATGTTTTGTAGAAAAAGGAAGCGAAGGCTCACTGGCATTTCTTAAAAATTCTACCTTTTTGGGTTTGTTTCTTTGTTTGGGGTTTTTTTTTTTGCAATCTCTACGGTTGGATTTCATTAGAAGGTTTTCCCCGCAGCATCAGATGCGGTATGGTAGCTGGATCCAAGGTCTTTTTTTCCCTTTTCAGGATGCAAAGAAAAATATTTGAATTTATTTTCTGGGTTGCAAAAAAGTTGGAATTGCGGGGATGAGGCACCCAAAGGAATTTTTTATTATTATTATTGTGGACTTACGACCACAATTGAGCCCAGCATGTCTGTTGCTGAATGAAACGTTGGCTAAGCGAGTTTGCTCCGTTTTACGACGATGCTGGCCACATTTGTTAAGGGAATCACTCCAGTTCTTAAATTGGTAATAGGGTTGTGAAGCGAATCTGGCTTTCCCCATTGAGTTTATTCCAGCAAGCCGGCCTGGCCTAATTTTTTCTCCCCTTTCTTTTAAATTTTAAATTTTAATTTGTTTTAAATTTATTGGGATTTTAATTGTCGTGGGCCAATATTATTTAATTTGGTTTTAAATTGTTCTTAACTTTTGTATTTCTGTATTTTATCTTGTGCCTGTTCACCGCCCTGAGTCCTTCGGGAGTAGGGCGGTATACAAATTTAATAAAACATAAACAAACAAAACAGTTTGCTGGTCAGAATTATGTAAAAATCGATCATGTGACCTCCGGAATACCGCAACCGTCATAAATATATGCCAAGGCTTCCAATTTTGATCATGTGACACCCCCCCCGGAAGCTGCAACAGTTATAAGTGTGAAAAATGGTCGTCGCTGCAGTGACTCACTTAACAACGGTGGCAAGAAAGGACGTAAAATGGGGACAAAACTCACTTAACAACTGTCTTGTTTAGCCATGTTTTGGACTCCATTGTGGTTGTAAGTCGAGGACTATACTGGAAAAGTCATAAAAATCACGATTTCACAACCCTCACCAGTTACGACCGTGATGGCCAGGCTTTACGTCTGTCATAATTTGAGGATTACCTGTACTTTGGAGTCAAAACTCTGAACACTGG